CTCCGGACTGCTCTCCAAGCTTAAAATCCATTTACCTCAGTCCTTGTACCTAGTCCTCCGATCCTACCTCTCTGACCGCTCCTTTCGAGTTCGCTGTGGAACAGAATTTTCCAATATCTACTCCGTTAAAGCCGGTGTTCCCCAAGGCAGCGTCTTGGGTCCCGTGCTTTACATCCTCTTTACTGCTGACATCCCTGTTCATCCCGATACTTTTCTTGCAACATTCGCTGACGACACCGCAATCTTATCATCCAACTCTGATCCCGAAATAGCATCCTTAAATCTCCAAAGTCACCTCACCTTGATTGAGCACTGGTGTAATAACTGGCGCATTAAAGTTAATGAATATAAATGCCAACATATTACCTTTACACTCCGACGCAATTCCTGTCCACCAGTACTCTTTAATTCCATCCAGCTTCCTTATTCAGACACAGTCCGGTATCTTGGCTTTCATTTAGACCGAAGACTAACTTGGAACCCGCATACTAGACTCAAAAGACAAGAACTCAACCGACGATACGGCCAACTATACCGACTACTAAGCAGAAAGTCTAAACTTTCCATTGAAAACAAGCTACTGATCTACAAGACAATACTGAAACCTATTTGGACTTATGGACTAGAACTGTGGGGATCAGCAAAATTTTCTAACATCAAGCGCATCCAATCCTTCCAGTCTAAAGTCCTTCGAACAATAGTCGATGCTCCTTTCTATGTATCCAACAAAACCCTACATCATGACCTTAACATCCCATTTGTCCTAGACCTTATCCCAGAAAAATTCTCCAAATTTCACCAGAACCTTACTTACCACCCAAATCCTCTTGCACAATCCCTATCAAGCATCTCCCATCCCTATAATCCTCGAAGAAGGTTGAAACGGCAGTGGCCTCGCGACCTTTTGTAGATTATATAAATTGGAGTTCTGGCAATGGCCTGATTCTTCACTCAAGACATGTGTGTATGTGGCTAAAGTGCTCTCGACCAATCTCCGCTGGCTTTAGTACCAGTGACGCGGTTGGGGGAGTAGCGCAGGGTTCTCCTGGAGTTCCCTCGCCTGATTGTATATAGGTATGCATGTGTTTTTTTTTTTTTTTCCTTAGTTTTAATTTTCTTATTTTTTAGGTTATTTTATTTTATTGTCTATTGTATATACTTTTGATTATTATTTTGTTCTATTTATTTTATTTTTTTTGTACATATGGTGTGAATGTCATCCTACCTCACTATAACCAATGTCCAACAGACAGATTGTTATAATACTCAATAAAAAAAAAAAAAATAAAAAAAAAAATAAATTTCCAAGTTTATGGTAAAAGTTTAATTATTATTTATTCAAATTAAATAAAGTCCTGTTAAATGAAAATTAAACAGTAATTAGGCTGACAGTTAGATTAAAGTTGTAATTTGTTTTGAACAGGACTTGAATCAGAAATTTTTTTTTATTTTTTATATGTTTCTGTATCACTGGAACATTTATTGTTGATATTTTTTTTTCAGTTCTTATGGAACTTGAGTTTTTTACCTTGTGACTTTTCCAGTAAATATTTTACAAAACTTTTATTTAAAACTTCGGTCTATTTCGCTAAAAAATTGATATCAAAAATGATTTTTATTCTTAGCTACTCAAACGAACGACACATAAGAATCATGTAATTTTTTTATTATTTTATTTTATTTCTTTTTTTCTTTTTTTCACTTTCGTATATATGTAATATATAGTAATGGTAAGTATTGCGTTCGTAAATTTTTCGAATCTTAGTTTTAAACGGAAATACATGTTTTGAGGTCCCCTGAGTCGAAATAACCAAGTCTCGCAAAATGGTCTATGTGTGTGTGTGTCTGTGTGTGTTTATGTGTGTGTGTTAACAGTATAGCTCATAAACGAAAAGTAGTACGAAACTGATATTAAGTATTTAAGGTTTGTATATGGGCCGGATGTGACAGCAACTTTTTCGTTAAAATCGACTTACCGGAAGTGCCACTTTATATGAACGCTGAAACACATCTTTACAATTTTCTCAAAAATGGATTTAACGATTTTGATTAAACTCGGTGTATCATTGTATAATTAAGTGATATTTAATATGATTCAGGTCTTATCCCCGCTGATGTCACTTTACACGACATAAATGCCCAATGTTCCAAAGCGTCTTCCTCTATGTTTATTTTATTTTTTTATTATTATTATATTTTTTAGCCTCTTCTTACAAGTATCAAGAGGGTAATTGTCTAACTTCCCGCGGGGACCAGCCGTATTAGGAAATAGGGTCGGGATTCGATCCTATGATCTTTGCTTTACTAGTATAGCGCGCTAACTATTAATATGTAATTAATTTACGACAAATTGTAGCTCTAACCAAAGCCCAATTACTGCTTATTTCTCATTTAACGGAACTTTTTTTAAGAACTCAAAGAAATAAAATTTAAACCTTTACCGTTAATCTATAACTAAGTACAAGGCGCTACAGACCGCTGAGCCCTCGCCAGATAGCTCTATCTTGCGTAGTCGCTCGCCAGATGCGGGTATTATTTATTTTATTTACACCCTACCCTGCCGATAAGGCAATACGGGTGTTATGCAGTAGTGAGTAGCAACGCATGCTTTACAATTCACTGCTGCATTCAGACCAATTACATTTTTTACAGCTGTGCACACAGCCTGCTCTTTTTTTTTCTTTTTATCCAGCATCCTGTTCCACCCTCTCTGGCGGTCTTCCGTATACAGGTTCATTTCTTCTTCCTAATGAAATGTGGTTTGACCTAACCAGTTCCTTCCACCCGTATACGAATTCCTTGTAATACGGGTATTTTTCCTTTGTCATAAGTTGAGGGAGATCGCTCTCCGTCAGAGCGTAGAGCTCCGTCTCCCTCAACAACTTAGCCCCCAGTGCCTCAAAGGATGATATGCTCGGCGGTCTCCGGCACTCTGCAACTTGGGCATAGGAGACCGATGTTCTTGCCATATTCATCGAGCTTTGCTCGGAAACCCCCATGCCCTGTGAGGAACTGTGAGACCCAGTAGTCCGGGAGAACCCATGTCTGTTCCATTCTTGAACCAACGGTGGGGAAGTATTTTCTTAGCGTAGCCCCTTTTGGCGTCGTCACCCACCGTTGGTTCCATTCCTTTAATGTGTTCTCCCGAAGAATCCTCTTCCATCCATTAGGGTCTTCACTGATCCTCACACGAAGGTTCGCCGGTAGATCCACCAGGCCTTCTCTCTTCATCTTATGCCGAAAGTATTCTTCTCGTAGGAGAAGATCAATAGGAGTAGTTCCGGCTAAGACTTGTACCACCTCATGAGACACTGAAGGATACGCTCTAGTGACCCGCAGCAGAGCCATCCGCTGGATTGTTGCCAACCTTTTCTTCTGTTGGTGCGAGAGATGATGACTCCACGCAGGAGACGCATATCTCAGGATGCCCAGAATAACTCCTTTATAAATGGCTGGGTAACTGAGACCCCAAAAGGGGCCCCCGAAGTGACTAAGTCCATTGAGAGCCAGGGCCACCCTACTTTTCATGTAGTCCGAGTGAGGCGTAACGTTGAAATTTCTCCCAACTCTTATGCCAAGGGCCAGTTGCGGGTATGCAATATTTCTCTGGCGTTCCGGATGATGGCGTCCTCCCATCTTAGACATGGTCTGCCCTTCCCTCTTGTCCTGCAGAGCTTTCCATCAAGCAACTGCCTTGGTACTTCCTCTTCTGGCATTCTGGCCAGTCCAACGTAGTCGCCTAAGCTTGATGCACCTCAACACATCTGTCTCCCCATACAGATCAAATACGTCTCTGTTAGTCCTCCTTCTCCAATCATCACCAACCTTAACAGGTCCAAAGATACTCCGAAGGATCTTCCTTTCAAAGATTAGTAAATCTTTATCTTCTTTGCTAGAGAGGGTCCAGCTTTCCGATCCATATGTGAGAACAGGCCTAATGAGAGTCTTATATATGAGGCATTTTGTATGACGGGAGATGGCAAAGCTTTCAAGGTGTTTGCTGAGGATAAAATACCACCTGTTTGTCCTTATTATTCGCTGGTTTACCTCCAGAAATGAGGTAAACCAGTAAATAGACCGGTACTCGTACAGCGGTCTCGGTTTCAGGTCCTTCTCGCATATAAATTGTCTTTTCCTGGTTTACACTCATTCCCAAAGCTTCTGCCGCTTCAGCCAAAATTAAAAATGCACTATTAACATACTCGAAGGAACGTGCCATCAGATCTAGATCGTCAGCAAATTCCAGCATTTGCGTTAATCTGTTAAAGATAGTCTGGATCTCCGAATCACGTATCACCTTCTCCAGGACCAGGTTAAACAATAGGCAGGTAAGCCCATTCCCCTGCCTAATTCCTCGCGTGGAAACAAATTCAGGAGGCAGGTCCGATTGTACCCGAACACTGCACCTAGCATCATCCATAGTCATCTTGATGAGACGAACAAGTTTCGGGAGAACTCCAAGGTTACACAGGGCTACTTACAGTTGAACTATAACTTTAATAAAAACAGGTCCTTCGAACTTTAATTTTAAGAATTTTTTCCTAAAAAGTTTAACAAGAACTATTAAAAAGTAACTTTTAAGCTAACTAGCTATGAATAAAAGTAATAGACCGACTTTTAGGTTAATTAGAACTTTTAACTAAACATGTTTTAAAAATAAGAGTTTTGCTAAAGCTGAAAAAAGTTGTCTAGTTCCAAAAGAACTGAAAACTATCGGCAATAAAAAATCTGATGATACCGAAACCTTTTAAAACTAAAAGTTTTTTTCCGTTTCCAGCCCTGTCTAAAATTATTAAGATATAAAAATTTTATAATTGTTTTCTTAAATTTGTATTTGAAACGAAATTCTCTATTGACTGATATGGGTTATACAATATCTTTATATTACCAATAAATTCTCATCTTACACTATTTTCATATTTTTATCTTGATCGAGTTGTTGACTTTTATCAATTGTATATAAGCGAGAAACACACAAACACTTCAGTATTACCGACGTAATGAGTCGTTTAGCTTTACTTATTTTTTTCTGTAGCATTAGCGGTTATCACACTCTACTTAATCCATATCCGAGGATTAGAACTATTCCATTTAATGGAGATGCAGACGACCCTCTCTTCCTGACGCCTTACATCGAGGAAGGTAAGATACAAGAAGGTCAGGCGGCTTCAAAGGTAGAACTGCCATTTACCAATGTCACCAGCTACACTGGCTACCTCACCGTCAACAAGACCTTCAATTCCAATCTCTTCTTCTGGTACTTCCCTGCTGAGGTAGACCCGAAGAACGCTCCCGTAGTCCTTTGGCTCCAAGGAGGTCCTGGAAGTTCTTCTCTTTATGGACTCTTTTGCGAAAATGGCCCATTCTCTGTTGACGTCAGATTGATTGTACAAGCACGCGAACACTACTGGTCACAATTTTTCAACGTAATTTATATCGATAACCCAGTCGGAACAGGATATAGTTTTACTGAGAATGATGCTGGATATGCAACTGACCAAGTGAAGGTAGGGGAGGATCTTTACTCTGCTTTACTGCAGTTCTTCCAGCTGTTCCCAGATTTGCAGAAGAACGAATTCTTCGTCAGTGGCGAGTCTTATGCTGGGAAGTACATCCCCGCAATAGGTTATACCATCCACAACAACAACAAAATAAACAAACAGAAGATCAACTTGAAAGGACTAGCAATAGGTAACGGTTTAACTGATCCGGAGAACATGATGGTATACGCGGATTATGTTTATCAACTTGGTCTTGTGGACTCTAACACCAGGGAAGTAATTAGGAATTTACAAGATAAAGCAGTGAAATTAATAAGGCAACGTCAATATTCTGAGGCAAATACTGTATTCCATAATATTGTAGGTTCGTTAAGCCCTCATATAAACATTTATAACTATCTTGAAAGCGGCTACTTTGATGTAGAAGAAGTCTACAGTGATTATGTTCAGATGGACTTCGTCAGGATAGCCATTCACGTCGGTAATCGCGATTACAGTGACGGTTCTAAAGCTGGAAAGTATCTTGAAAATGACATCATGCAATCTGTCAAACCATGGGTCGAAGTATTATTAGAAAATTACCGAGTAATGTTTTATAGCGGTCAATTGGACATAGTAGTCGCGTACCCATTGACGATGAACTTCTTGCCAAAACTAAATTGGACAGGCTCTGAGGAATACAGAACTGCACCGAGGAAGGAATGGAAGGTAGACGATGAACTGGCTGGGTTTTACAAGAAGGCCAAAACATTAACAGAAGTTTTCGTCCGAGATGCAGGACACATGGTGCCAAAGGATCAGTCGAAATGGGCTCTCGACATGATAACCCAATTCGTTTACAATAAGTTCAGTTAATCCTACAATTTTGACGCCTGATTATTGATCTTTATTAATGTTGTGATAATGATAAGCATTTGTGCTATAAATAGTTTGCCTTCAGAATTGATAGTGATTATTTTAGACAAATAAATTGATTTTTATAAGAAATTTATTTGTTTTTATTGTTGCCTCTACCTTTTAGGGACATTGGGAGCAGATTTTGCTTATACTCTATTATAGGATTTTATAATTTTTAAAAGTTTCAAATCTTTTTCTACGGCTTTTTCGTTTATTCATAAAAATATTATTATTAAAATATTTTTTAGTAATATTTGGTAGGTTTAATGGAAAAAAGAAAAAAACAAAAACATTAAAAATAAGATAAATAAGTAAACATAATAGATTAAAATGAATATACATATAAAGAATTAATGAAAGAGTAATAATAATAAAAAATAAAATAAGGGTGAAAAAGGTAATATATCTATATATTTATATAGAAAAACAAATTAAATAAGAGAAAAAGATAAATAGAAATTATTATTATAGCTATTTTATTAAATTTACTCTTGTTAGAAATGTTATTATTTAGTCAGTTCTATTGATGTCGTTTCCTGAGGCTAGTGATATATTTGGTGATATTTTGTAAGTCATTTAATTCACGACTATAAAACGAATAATCTTGGAAAATGTGAGTTATGGACAGGACACTATTGCAATAGTATACCATCTAGGTGGTGCAGCTTTAGTGATGAGGTGGAGGTGGGTCATCTTGAGTGTTCGATCCTAAGCCGGGCAAGGACGACTTCCTCTTCGCGAATGCTGCGACTAGAAGAACTCCAAGGCCTGACATCTTTCTTTATTAGTTTCAGTTTACTTGGAGCACTCTTGTCCTGCCATTCCTTTTGGATATCTTTAAGCGGCCGTGAGAGATCTGACGGTGTTAGTAGGGTTCTACCACGACCTGGGAGCGAGAGTGATTCTTTTGCTACTTTATCGGCCATTTCATTGCCTTTTATACCAGCATGTCCAGATAACCATAACTGATTTATCGATATCAGTCATAAATGTTCCTATTTCGAGTATTCGTTGAATTCCTGGATGATCGTAATACATGTTTGCTAAACTCTTCAGAGCACTTAGGGAATCTGAAGCAATAACTATACTTTTTTCAGGTAATGTAGATGAATATTCTAGGGCCATAGCAATGACATTTACCTCTGCAGAATAAATACTACTGAATGGATGTAGCTTTATTTTATGTGTGGTATCTTTGGTCACAAAAGCTGATGAAGTTGGCGAGTCAGATTTGGATCCGTCAGTGAAAATTAAATGTTCCGGTAATGCCTGAATTAATATTTGAAATTTATCTCTGAAATCTGATGCTACTGTTTTTTCTTCGTTAAATTTGGTTTGGAGGAGATTACAATGCTAAACACCAACGGTGGGGTTGTCGAACATCCAACTCCCGCGGTAACATCCTTTCCCGTCTCTCATCTTCTAATAGTTATTCAATCCTCTCGCCCATGAGTCCTACTTATTGGCCAATAACCCTCAAAAAACGTCCCGATATCCTGGATATATTTATCACCTCCCAGATTTCCTCCTCCCAAACTATAATCAAATCTCTGGATGACCTTTCTTCAGACCATAGTCCAGTTCTGCTTTCACTACATTCTGACTTTGCTCCTAAACCATCACCTCCCAAACTGATCACTGGACGAGTAAACTGGCTGGGACAAATTTCGTGATGATTTGGAAAACAAACTTGACCTCAAAATTCCGCTAAGGACAAAAGAAGACATTAATGGTGCCATAGAAAAACTGTCATAATCAATAACAGACAGTATAAATAATAACACTTTTATCAATAAGATTAACAACCCACAAAATACTAACTTGCCACAGCATATTCGCATCTTATTAAAGGAAAAACGCAGAGCAAGATCGAAGTGGCATCGAACTAGATACCCGACAGATAAAGCATATTACACCCAACTGACTACTAAATGGACGACCACACTATGGCCGACCACTAAAAGGCTCCTGAAATTTAAAGACTGCAACCATCCACTACTCACTGAAGCCCAAACCTGGTCCAAATCCGACGAAGAAAAATCCCAAATATTTGCTCACCACCTCTTTAAAACATTTTTTTTTTTTTTTTTGTTCTTTCCTACCTCGCCTTTTAGGCTATACGGGATTTTCCCGGGCCGGGGGGTGAGGACGGGGAATTTAAAATCCCCTCCGGCACCGGGACGCGAACTCGTACTTTTTATATCATCTCAAATCTCTGTTAACCGGTTGCCAGGCAACTAGCGGTGCTGTGCACTCGCTTTAACCTATTCGGCCACCCCGCCCCACCTTTTTAAAACCTTTAATCCACATCCCGATATTCTTAACCTAAATCACCTTGAATGTATTGAAGCAGAACTGGATATCCCACTCCAAATGACTTCTCCTCCTAAAGCCTTTCATCCCATAGAAATATCCAACATCATTCACAGGTTACCTTCCCGCAAAGCTCCTGGACACGACCTAATTACATCCCAGATCCTAAAACTACTTTCTCGGAAAGCCATTCTATTCCTTATATATATATATGTATATATATATATATATATATATATATATATATATATATATATATATATATATACATATATATATATATAAATTTGCTTGAAAAGAGCGATAGTTCCAAAGGAACTGAAAAACTTTTGACATTACATATTCTAATGATATGGACAATTTTAAAAATAAAAGATTTTTTTCTGTTTCAAGCTCTTTTTATACATTTTTCTTTTTATGGCTATATAGATACCGAATAATTTCTTTTGTTTTATTTTATTACTTTATATTCACTGTAAATATGGCGCGAATATACTCTTTTCTTGCTATAACCAATTTTCATAGTGTAACAAAATTTCGTATAACTCACTAAAATAATTTTTATAAAAAGTTTCTCGCATTCTAAATATTTTTCATATATGAAGTGACTAAAATGATCTGGACATAAAGATGTTATATTTTAATAGCCTTATCAGACACACGAATTGAAATTAGGTACAGATATAAGATTTTTTTTAATGAATTGCCTATTTCTTTTGTTTTGTAACTAAAAATAGCGTTTACAATTACCTTTTTTTTTATTGAAAATTTCGTTAGCAATTACCATTTCATTAGGATTTATTTCATGGCGAAATGAATTACTCGAAAGGAAATTTCACATTATTTTTTCTAAAAAATAAAAATGTAATAAAAACATATATAAACAAATTTGCCTGAAAAAAGCGATAGTTCCAAAAGAACTGAAAAACTTTTGACAAATTCTAATAATATGGACAATTTTAAAAATAAAAGATTTTTTTCTGTTTCAAGCTTCACATTCTAAATATTTCTCTTAATTGAATTGACTAAAATGATTTGGACATAAAGTTGTTATAGTTTTTTTCATAAGTTCGTCTTTAATATAAAATTTCCTCTTGACTGATATGGATCAAACGATGTATTTATATTACCAATAAACCCTCATCCATCACTGTGTTCATGTTTTTATCTTTTTCGACTTGTTGACTTTTATCAATTGTATATAAGCGAGAAACACATAAACACTTGAGTCGTTTAGCTTTACTTATTTTTTTCTGTAGCATTAGCGGTTACCATACGTTGCTTAATCCCTATCCGAGGATTCGAACTATTCTATTCAATGGAGATGCTGGTGACCCGCTCTTCCTGACGCCTTACATCGAAGAAGGTAGGATACAAGAAGGACAGGAGGCAGCCAGAGTAAGTCTGCCGAAGACCAACATCACCAGCTACAGTGGCTACTTCACCGTCAACAAGACCTTCAACTCCAATCTCTTCTTCTGGTTCTTCCCTTCTGAGGCCGACCCGAAGAATGCTCCCGTAGTTCTTTGGCTCCAAGGAGGGCCTGGAGGTTCTTCTCTTTTTGGGCTCTTCTGTGAAAATGGTCCATTTTCTGTCGACACAAAACTGACTTTACAAGAACGCCAATACTCCTGGTCACAACTATTCAACGTAATTTATATCGATAACCCAGTCGGAACAGGATTCAGCTTTACTGAAAGTGATTCGGAATATGCAACTGATGAAGTCAAGGTAGGGAAGGATCTTTACTCTGCTTTATCACAGTTCTTCCAGCTTTTCCCAGATTTGCAGAAGAACGATTTCTTCGTCAGTGGCGAGTCTTATGCTGGGAAGTACATCCCCGCAATAGGTTATACCATCCACAACAACAACAAAATAAACAGACAGAAGATCAACTTGAAAGGACTAGCGATAGGTGACGGGTTCACTGATCCGGAGAACATGATGGTATATGCTGATTATGTTTATCAACTTGGTCTTGTGGACTCTAATACCAGGGAAGAACTCAGAAATTTACAAGATGAAGTAGTTAAATTAATTAGGCAACATCAGTATTCTGAGGCAAGTACTGTGTCTGATGAAATTTTGGGCAGGTTAAGCCCTCGAATAAACGGGTATAACTACCTTCAAAGCGGCTCCTTTGATCCTGAAGGTGCCTACAGTGATTATCTTCAGACTGACGTGGTCAGGAGAGGCATCCACGTCGGTAGTCGCACGTACAATGACGGTTCTAAAGTCGGACGGTATCTTGCGAATGACGTCATGCAATCAGTCAAACCATGGGTCGAAGTATTATTAGAAAATTACCGAGTAATGTTTTATAGCGGCCAATTGGACATCATTGTCGCGTACCCATTGACGATGAACTTCCTGCCCAAACTAAATTGGACGGGCGCTGAGGACTACAGGACTGCACCGAGGAAGGAATGGAAGGTAGACGATGAACTGGCTGGGTTCTACAAGAAGGCCAAAACGTTAACAGAAGTTCTGGTCAGAGATGCAGGACACATGGTGCCTCAGGATCAGCCGAAATGGGCCCTTGATTTGATAGCCCGATTCGTTTACAATAAGTTTAGATAATCGTATTATAATGATTTTGATTCTTGCTTATTGATCTCTATTTATGTTGTGATAATGATTTATAATTATTTGTATTATAAATAATAGTGATTAATTTATATAAATAAAAATATTTGTATATGAAATTTAGATTATTTATTTTTCAATGAATCATTTTTATTTTGATCAGATACATAATTTTTTTGTTATTTATTTAGGTGTTATTGTAATTTTTTAAATTTTTAAATTCAGAAGTGTCTTAAGCCCCTTGAATTGATTACTGGATAAGAGACACTCACATACACATATTCACTTAAATGTAGTGTTGCCCATTTGCGAGACCTTAGTATAAGTAGTCTCGCGCCAGTCTCAAATATTATTCATCTGCTCTCCTCATTATTATTTTTAGTTATCAATTCTCACTTTAAAATATTTCTCTAACGTATTAAATTAGTTTGTGTATTTCTATGATCCATCTCATTTATTCTAATCATTATTTGTGTGTTTATTATCACTTGCATCCTCAACATTTAATTTATTTTTCTTCAGTGGAGACATAAAACTGGACTGTATTTATTGAATTGATGCTTGTTATCATTGGTTAAACAAAATCAATGATAACAAAATTACTCTATTTTTTTATGACTTATGGATATAGTAGTAAGTATATAATTAAAATCGATAAGCAAGATCGATTAAAGGCATTCTTGTTGAATATTTACCCTTACTATATATTACATATATACGTAAGTGAGAGTAAAAATATTTAAAAATTGCGATATCTCTACTAATAGTGCTTCGATTTCGATGAAACTTCTTTTGTTTTTTTAGGCAATTTAAATACCTTTGAAACATCTTATTACAATATCCCCAAAAATGTGTATACTTTTTGGGTTATTCAGAATTTAATTTTACCATCCCTCGTAACTTTTTTTCCAGCTTCTTTTCGTTATAGTATGTTATATAGATAAATTTAGAGGGTGTCGAGAAAATGACTTTAGGGAAGTTTCATTGAAATCGGTACATTCGTTTAGGCGCTGCATTTTATAGCAACGCATGTTTTTTTGCATTTTTATTTTTTTCTCCTTTATTAACTTATCAAATTCTTTCAAAAGTTATATTTATGCATATTATCAAATAATGGTTATCATTTCCAATTAGCTATACTGTGTGTAAGTTCTTAATGAACAAACTCTGGGAGGGGGGGAAGGGGAGAAAAGAGGGATGAATATAGACAAATTTTCAACATAAAAGTTCATTTGATGCCTGGGCCCATCCCGAACGGATTTTTGAGTGTCCAAATTTTTTATTGAATAAGAAGGAATCGCTCAAAATCTGCTCAAGATAATAAAATTTTAAGTACACCATCGTAAAGTAGGGTAAATTGTTTTTGAGAAAACAATGATTAAATTTACGTCTAATCCGTCCGCTATACAGAGGTATGGTGTTCGTCTATGGATACGTTGGCTGCAGCAGTACAACGGCCGTATTAGAATTTCGAAAGTTTCTTCTATCATTGACCTTAGTAAATTTAATCACGGTTTCCTAAAAAAAAAATTATTCTACTTTACGATTGTGCATTTAGAATTTTATTATCTTGAACAGTTTTGAGCAATTCATTTAGTCAATTAGATCGTTACAGCAATTTTATAGTTTCGTAACTTTTTTTTTTTTGTATGGGATGTGACTGAGACGCAAAATCCGAGTTTTCGACCTCGGCGCCCCCTAGGATCACTTTTAAAAATCCCCAAAACTGCTATATTTTAGCACTTTTTTAATTTTAGACCATGAAGAAGCACGTTTTTGACAAAAAATACTCTATAAGTTTTTAAACTAGATTAAGTGTGCTACAATTTAAGATCAAAATGGATTCGTTAAACTTTTTTTTTTTTTTTTAAATTTCTTTATTGAGTATTATAACAATCTGTCTGTTCGACATTGGTTATAGTGAGGTAGGATGACATTCACACCATATGTACAAAAAAATAAAATAAATAGAACAAAATAATAATCAAAAGTATATACAATAGACAATAAAATAAAATAACCTAAAAAATAAGAAAATTAAAACTAAGGAAAAAAAAAAAAATAACATGCATACCTATATACAATCAGGCGAGGGAACTCCAGGAGAACCCTGCGCTACTCTTCCAACCGCGTCACTGGTACTAAAGCCAGCGGAGATTGGTCGAGAGCACTTTAGCCACATACACACATGTCTTGAGTGAAGAATCTGGCCATTGCCAGAACTCCAATTTATATAATTTACAAAAGGTCGCGAGGCCACTGCCGTTTCAACCTTCTTGGAGGATTATAGGGATGGGAGATGCTTGATAGGGATTGTGCAAGAGGATTTGGGTGGTAAGTAAGGTTCTGGTGAAAATTGGAGAACTTTTCTGGGATAAGGTCTAGGACAAATGGGATGTTAAGGTCATGATGTAGGGTTTTGTTGGATACATAGAAAGGAGCATCGACTATTGTTCGAAGGACTTTAGACTGGAAGGATTGGATGCGCTTGATGTTAGAAAATTTTGCTGATCCCCACAGTTCTAGTCCGTAAGTCCAAATAGGTTTCAGTATTGTCTTGTAGATCAGTAGCTTGTTTTCAATGGAAAGTTTAGATTTTCTGCTTAGTAGTCGGTATAGTTGGCCGTATCGTCGGTTGAGTTCTTGTCTTTTGAGTCTAGTATGCGGGTTCCAAGTTAGTCTTCGGTCTAAATAAAAGCCAAGATACCGGACTGTGTCTGAATAAGGAAGCTGGATGGAATTAAAGAGTACTGGTGGACAGGAATTGCGTCGGAGTGTAAAAGTAATATGTTGGCATTTAGGTTCATTAACTTTAATGCGCCAGTTATTACACCAGTGCTCAATCAAGGTGAGATGACTTTGGAGATTTAAGGATGCTATTTCGGGATCAGAGTTGGATGATAAGATTGCGGTGTCGTCAGCGAATGTTGCAAGAAAAGTATCGGGATGAACAGGGATGTCAGCAGTAAAGAGGATGTAAAGCACGGGACCCAAGACGCTGCCTTGGGGAACACCGGCTTTAACGGAGTAGATATTGGAAAATTCTGTTCCACAGCGAACTCGAAAGGAGCGGTCAGAGAGGTAGGATCGGAGGACTAGGTACAAGGACTGAGGTAAATGGATTTTAAGCTTGGAGAGCAGTCCGGAGTGCCATACCCGGTCAAATGCCTGTGCAATGTCCAGAAAGGCACCCGAACAGTATTCCTTGTTTTCTAGGGCTGAGGAAATATGATCAACAACTCGGAGTCCTTGTTGGACAGTAGAATGTTGAGAGCGAAAACCAAACTGATGGGAAGGGATATTTTGGGATTCTATAATGGGTAGGATTCGTTTCAGAAGGATCTTTTCAAAAATTTTTGAAAGGATTGGGAGTAGGCTGATTGGTCTATAGGATGTTGAGCTATTGAGAGGTTTTCCTGGTTTTGGGAAAAGGATAATAGTGGAGTGTTTCCATAACAGAGGGAAGTGGGTGGTGCGTAGGATACAATTGTAGATATATGTAAGGAATATGACTGCTTTGGATGGAAGTTGTCGAAGGATTTGAGGTGTAAGGAGATCATGTCCAGGAGCTTTACGGAGGATTAGTTTTTTTAATTGAAATTTTACTTCGGAAGGATGAATAGCTTTTGGGGCAAGGAAAGTGGGATTGGTGATGTAAGGAGTTCTTCTACTGTTACGGTGTGGGCAGGATGGGATTCCGGATGTGAAATAAATGTATTGGATAGGTGAATGGCGAACTCCTCAGCTTTATCTTCGTCAGATGCTGCCCAGGAGCCATCACCTCGTCGGAGAGGATGGGAAATGCGGTGAGGATTTAGGATTTTTGTTGTGGTTTTCCAAAGGGAATTGTCGCGAGAAGAGAGGGAGGATAGGTAGGAGTTGAAGGATTGTGATCTGAAGGTGGCTAATTCCAGTTTTAATTTTTTGCAGTAATAATTATAGGAGCAGCGGTCGGCAGGATGTCGGGTACGTTGCCACAATAATCTGGCACGGCGTTTGGTGTGGATTAGGTCAAGGAGGTGTTGGGGTAGAATGGTCTTTTTAGGAATTCTGGAGGAGTCTTTTGGAAAGGAGGCAGTCCAGGCGGCTTGTTGGATTGTGGTAGTAAAGGAATTTACGGCACTATCAAGGTCATCGGGAGTTTTGAGGGATATGTTGAGATCAATATTATCGGAGATTATTTGGCGGAAAAGGTCCCAGTTTACTGGGCCCCTAATGAATGACGGTGGAGAAGGTTTGGGAACAGGTTCAAGTGAAACATTAAGGATTAGAGGACTATGGTCAGAGGAAAGTTCATTTAGACGTGTAATGGAACAATTGAGGGGACTTAAGCCGCTGTGGATAAAGAAATCAAGAAGATCAGGATTACGGTTGGGATCTGTGGGCCAGTAGGTAGGAGAGTTGGGGGAAAGGAGGTGAAAACGTTGGGAATTGAGTGCAGACAGCAGGGTTCGGCCACGAGAATTCGTGGTTCTGGAACCCCATTGTTGGTGCTTGGCATTTAGGTCTGCACCCAAGATGAAGTGATGTCCTAAGGAGTCGAGGAGAGAACTGAATTGGGCATTGGATATGGATCGGTTAGGAGGGCAATACGCTGATGCAAGAGTGACCGGAAAGGAGAAGGTTTTTATCACGATAGCGGTGGACTGTAGGAAATCATGTATTGGTAATGGGAGTACGTGATGGGAGAGGGATTGGTGTACAATTACAGCAGTACCGGCATGTGCTTTTCCGTCAGGGTGGTCAGTACGATATGTCAGGTATTGTGGTATATTGAAGTGCTGTTTAGTGGTTAGTCGAGTTTCAGTAATTAGTGCCACATCAATGTTCTTGTCAAGTAGTAAAGTAGATAGTTCGTCTGTATGATTTCTAACACCATTCGCATTCCAAAGGAGAATGGATATGGGTTTAGGGATGTGAGTCATTTAAGGATTTTTCAAAGGAGGGATGAGGTGAGATACGAGATTCGTGAGGAGTGATATGA